GAGGCACTGGCAACTTTACATCTTCTTTATTTAGGGCCAGCACTCAAGTGTCATTATAAGGAGCTGCACCACAAGGCACAGACATATCCTTGGTTTTCCATGCAATACAGGGAGACCTGAGCTTCTAAAAGGAAGATGCAGAACAACTGTCACGCTGAGACAGCCAGAAAGAAATGCCAAAGGCTGAAGTCTCCTAGACAGTTGTGGCCACAGCCAAATCATGTACAAATTCACATAGCCCTCCACTCCTACAAAAGTATCAGAAGGGAATAACACAGGAGCTGGGTGCAGGGCTTGGCTGCAAATTATCCACCTCTCCCCCAAAAACTGTATGACTATACAGGCAGGAATGCAATATCTCTGGAGCCTAAAAGAGAATGGCCACCTACTTCTGCTGAGTCTCTCTGATGAAAAGGGAATCCCAGGTCTTTCTGCTGTAATGGATACAGCTTAAGCCTGTTCCATATATACCATTCATGAATATTAGGCACAGCAGTAGACCTTGGAATTCTCCATGTTCTGCTTGGGCTACATATTTAACCTCCTTTTTGTTTCTCCATTTCTTGATTCCTTAGAGCTCAATGATCTTTAAGTTTTTTTTTTCAACCTAAGGCATTCTATTATTCTGTTAATCTATGATCTGGGAATGAGAAAACACTATCTATACGTGAAAAGCATTTTCTTATATGTAAATGGTTCTTATGCAGATAAGAGTTAAGTGTGCCTTTGAATCCATTGCAGACAGACCAAAAAAAAATATTTCCAAGGTCCAGGTTAATAAAGTCATGTATAAAGATTGTCACTGCATCTTTGTCCTGCTCCAATACACAGAATGCTGAGGCAGCTGAGCCTATGGCCTGAGCAGCAGTCATGCTTATCTTTAAAATCTGCTTAATTTGCAGCAGATAAGATTTATGAAAGATTTCCCAGTTTTGAGGGTAGTTAAGTGCTCAAAGAGGCCACCTAGGGAGACTGTCACATTTCCAACATTTGAGGTTTTAAAGAACAGATTACACAAACAGCTGTCGAGGGCAGCTCAGACATGTATGTGATGCTGCCTTCAAGCAGAAGGGTGGACAAAAATATCTCCTTGGATCTCTATCTAGGATTCTTCCACTCTTTTGCACAGCTCCAGCCAGAAGTTTTGTACTTAGATTCTTGTTGAAGAGACATCTCCTGTCATCAGTGGGTCCAGTAGCATTGTCGTCTCTTTCCTTCTCTAGCATAGTATGTCTACTGAAGTCAGAGATGTCTGTGGGATATGACTCGTCCTGCTGTTCCCTAGGAATCACATGCAGCAGGCAGAAGATAAAGTCTGGGAGCTGCTGTGCTGCTGACCACTTTCCAGCCTCATTGCTGAGGAAGAGCAATGATTTAAAGCCAGCTTTGCCATCACCCATGGCAAAATGCCAAGTACACTCCAACTGGCCTGTAGAATGTAGGCCAGTGGCAGGAGCCATTCCCTGAAGACTCACAAGAACAGTTGTCCATACAGCTTTGCTTCCCTGTACGTGGTTAACAGCTTGCAAACTGGCAACAACCCAGCAAACAGAGAGGAAGGCAGGATTCCTGCTAGACACACACATTTGGCCTCACACGTGTTCACTTTTACAAAATGTAATGTTGTGATTCTTTAGTTCTGATCTCCCCAAACCCTGCTTGTCTATAAACAAGCACTTCACCCTATAAGAAGCAGAAGTTCTGGTTCTTCAACATCACAAGTTGTTTGGGAGTACTAAAAAGATCATGGCTGCAGGCTCAGCACACTTGTGCTGTTGGTCTTCAGCTCTCAGGGAACAACTATCATGCAGACACAAAAGTGTAAAGACGGAAAGGAAAGCAATCTAATATTTACCGGAGAAAAAGCAATCTTATCCCACAAGATACAAATCTGGGGAATCTTTGTAGCCATATTATCTGCAGATAGCTACTGAAACACTGTTTCCAGCAGAATGTTTACACAGTTGTCAGCAAGCATATTGTTCGCCTACTTTTCAAAGCCAATTTATATGCAGCACACGTAGCAGCATGCATGAAAATTCAGACAAAAACACAGATGCATGCAACAATCCCTGGCCAGATATTGCTGCTGTTTATTGTTTGTTGCTCAGAAGTGCCTAGGAGAGAGAAGGAAGGTAGCAGCCCATTGTGTTTGGCATTGTACCACCTCATGTTAAAATATAGGTATTTTCCACAAGGAACATAAAATCTCTACTTAAGATATAACAGACAGTAAGGGAGTGACATAAGGGAATGAATAATAAGAGAGTTTGTATGTGCCAACTTTATACTCCCATGTGCCAGCTAATTGAATACATGATGCAAATAAATACTAGTCTCCTACTGAAGGCAACAAGTTAGCTGTAATTAGCTGGCAGTTTATCAGGAGCTTCACAGAAGTTGACCTTGGTGAGAAATTTGAAGAAGCTCAGGCAAGGTGCTAGATAGATCTGTTTGGAGAGGGCACTACAGAGGAAAGTGTCACTGTGGGAGAAAGGGAAGAGTGTGTGGCTAGAGAACAAGTGAATGAAGGAGAGTGGCATCATATAGGCAGCAAAGCAGGAAGCACTTAGGTAACAGGGTAGCTAGGAGGAAAAGATGTGAAAATTCTAGAGTAAAGGAGGAGTTTGCATTTAACCTTCTTGACAGTAGGGGAAAATGAGAGACAAGGACTGCAAAAGGTAAAGAGGATGTATTTGTTGCTACCTTTGAACAGACCAGAGGGGAATGAGGTCAGTGGGTGACAGGAAAGCCTAGGTGAAAAGGCTCACAGGAAAATTTCTGTCACTACAGGCAAAAGCCATGTTGAAGAAATGGTATAGGGTCACCAATATAGTAACAGACAGTGCTGGGAAACATGCCAAAGGAGGAAGAAGGGGAGGAAACATCTTCCAGACAAAGCAGGAGTAACACTATCTACAAGAGAAGTGGCAGTGGGTACAAAGAGTGGAGCCTGCCCTAGGTTATGCGTAAAGGCCCAGTTCAAGATCATGCTTCAATTTTAGCAGTATTGAACCACATTCACCCAGGGCCCAAAAGGACTAGTCAAAGGGAAGCACTGAAAAGATGTATTACTCCCTCTTCTTGAAGTGCTCTGAATGGTTTTAAGAAGGCAGTGCTCTCCCTCTGTGTGTTTGCTTGTTGCACAGACCACAGCTTTGTCCCCTCACTTAGGGGCTGAGAATCAGGTGGCATGAAAACCACTAATCAACAAAATTACACTGAAGTCCCTGTACTATAGTTCACCATGCCACCATACAGACAGATGTCCTCTCTTCCAGGCTCTCTGGCAGGTAATATTTACATTCAATATTGTTTATATTCCCCAAAACCTCCACAGAGAGATGCCAAATCAATAGGCCAAGAGTTGGAATACAGTCATTTTGTGCCTTTATTTTTTAAAATGACAGTTGTATTTCTACAATTCTGTAAAGCCTTTTAAAATGTTGAGAGAAGCACTGCTCCCTGCCAGGGCCATGGGGGGTAATAATGGGCCTGGTAGTCCCTGACCATGCCCAGGGCTGCCTGTGCCTTGACCAGCTCCCATGTCACCACCACAACCATCTGTCCCTCCTCCAGTGAAGCTGCAGCAGGGTCAGGCTCCAGCTCCCCACAGCCCTGCCCAGCCTTGCCATTGTCTAAGTGAGCCTACCCACATGCCCATGTCCTGTGAGCAGCTACAAGGAGGTGCCCCACTGCTGGCTGGGGCTGTGGAATGGGTTCTGCCCACTAGGCTCTGCCCTAATGTCCCTATGGGGAGTCCCCATAGTGCCCAGCCCCAGGAAGGCCCTGCCACATGCTGGCACCAACTGCCTGAGAAGAACTGGGACAGGACAAAATCAAAGGACAATCCCAGCCTTGCTCTCCCTGAGCCAGCCCCTCCATGTGATATATTAAATGTTTTCTAAATGCAGAGATGTTTCTTTTTTCCCCCTAGTCCTGAGCTACCAGCATCTCATCTGATCACGTCTCGTCTCATCTTCTCTGCAGTGATGTTGTGCTGTACACAGGAGACAGCTGTCACAATCCTGCCACCTCTGGGCCACATCACCCAAGCTCCAGCTGGAGCCTGGTGCCAGGTCACACTGGGTCTTGGTCACACCACAACAGAGTATGACAGGCATCTATCACATCCCTACCTCATTACCACCATGGAAGCATCTGATCCAGACACACTTGCTCCTTCCAAAGAGGAAAAGGCCAGACCACAAGAATCAACTCATGAAGAACTGCATGAATGGCAGTTCACTAGCCGAATCAGTCACATTCATGCTAATACCAACTCCCTATAAGAAGTGAGCTGAGAAACCTCAAGGTTTGTGTCTCCAGCGTTTCTCAGTCATAAGTTAAATGCTGTTCACCTTCCATGAGACACAGAGATGTAGATGGAATTATTTATTTATTTACTTACTTATTTATTTTTGCAGTGTTTTCTCATTTCTTTTACAGCCAAGGCCTTACAGGAGCTTCTATGGATTATTCACACAGCAGCCTTTCCAGTGCTGACTGTTCAGATTACTGCATCAACACCTCCATGGCTTTCAAATTCATTTCACAGGTTTACAAGAAACAGATGCTGATACCTGATAAGTAGCAGCACCTGGCTTGAAAGCTTGTCATCAGTTCATCAGCTTCTAACATCTCCAGTAATATCTCAGCTTGCTGGAGAAATGCTACCCTAACCATCTAACATATTTCAGTGTGGCGAAATAAAACTCCTCTCATGAACTTGTTGACATACTGATTCACACCTTGGTGTTGTTGCTGGAGCAGCAAGCCCAATTGAGTGCAGTGATACTCATTTAGTGAGCCTGGCTTCCTGTTGCATCCCCAAAGTTGTCTACTTGTCACAAGGAGTTTCACATGACTACAGTACAGCTGAGATTCTTTGAAATATTTTTTAATGAAAACAAAACTAGTTATTTGCATATGTATTACTTTTGATTATCAGAAGACACAAGCATATTTGCAAAGGTAGCGCAAGTAAATGAATGACATGAACTGCTTTCTTCATCATAGACTTCTGAATTTCAGTATTTCACCTTGTTTTCTGACATGATGAAGGTAAGACATTGATACAGTACACACATTCAAAAACCATTACACACCAGCCACATATAACAAACACATATCCAACTAGTTTGACCAGACTTCTGTTTTCCACAAGACCAGTGCTTTGCTGTAAGACAGAATTACACAGGGAATGAATTGGATCTTACAGTAACAAGGCTCTCAGAAATCCAATTGCAGAATGGCAAAACTGCTGAAGAGAGGCACATTAAATAACACTCCTGTCATTCCATGGCAATGCATGATATATATATATAATTGGGCTGTGGCCAATAAAGTCAACAGAAGGATTTGAAACAGCTTACAAGGGCATAAAGGAAAGGAAAAGTGTGTTTCTTGCACTGCCAGGAAAGTGGAGCCACAGTGACCACAAAACATGGCTAGACTGCAGTAAGATCATCCCCAAGCCCAGACTTCTGCACAAGGAGTTGCTAAGGGCAACAAATGGGGAAGAGAGGACAGCAAAAGCAGTGCTGCAATTTTGGCCCTACAGTCCCTCCAGGAAGCCTGCTTGGTGCTCTGGCAGCTTGGGAGGGAGCTGAGGTGATGGGAGGCAGCCACAGGCATGGCAGCTGCCCCACTGCATCAGCTCTGTCATGGACGGTGAGCTCTGCACTGTCTCAGTCCCAGTGCCTTCTCTTCCTTACCCACAGTATGGCTTTGAACAGCAAAGTGTATCTCTACTCCCTCTCCTGAAGCCTTGAGCCCAGCTTCTTCAGCAAATATCCTATGCCCATCAATTTCCATGACCAAAATGCACTAAATCTACACTGTATATCTGCCCTCAGAGGCAGGACAATTGCAAAGCACCAAGCACCAATAAACACCAATCAAAGCCCAGTACTGCCAAGCATGATGCCACTAATACAACTGATCAGGGTGGTCAATTCTTTAAACGAGAGTAATCAAAGCAATATATGTAACACCCAGAAACACAGTACCTCAGACTAGACAAAACCTGTAGTGTTGATAGCATTGTCAAAGGCATATCAGATCTCTTATTTCACTGCTGCCATTACACGTAATACTTGTGTCACTGAGATACTAAGGCTGAAAGGTCATATCATATCTTAGAAGGTAACCATCATTGTAAACATATAGTCTCTGATCTGTGGGGTTATAAGAAAGACTCTGGATTCTGTCTAATTTTTTATCCATGATGATACTCACACGACCTTCTTCGCCAGTACTTGTGTCATACATGTAGAAGATTTCCTCTTTCCTAGTGCTCAGTGTTCTTGTGGCATACAGAATGCCACATAACATGAAAGCATTGGAAACAGATGGCTTGTACTGTCTTGTCTGCCAAGTATTTAGCACATCAAGTGTGGTCTCATTGAGTTTGCTAATCACAATGTTGCCCATGCTATTTTCTGTTGAATATATTACCCACAGCCCACTTTCATCCACAGCAAAATCTATGTCTTGCCACGATACACCCGCGTATGAGAAACGGTTACTAACAGCAGCAGAGGGAAGGGCCTTACGCAAAACCACAGTGTTTGTATTTATATCATATTTGGCTATATCTGATGAAGAATAAACATGGTAGTAGAAAAAATTATTGTAAAGAGCAACACCACTTCCTTCCCCATAGGTTAGTCTTCTTTCATACTTTGGTTTAAACAGCAGCAAATCATCAAAGGAACCATAAATTCTAAAATATTCAAAATATCTCCCACCCGTGTCCAGTGGTACAACCCAATAGGTTTCTTTCTCGGGGTTGGAAGGAGAATAATCTCTACCCCAGGAACCATATTTGTAGGAAAATCCTTTCCAGTTCAGTTTTACAACATAGGGCTGGCTAACATTCAGCAGTCCACGGTGAATGCAGCTACCTGCAATGGAAGAGAAAAATCAGGTTTTCCAAATGTCATCATTAAGAGAGAGGTTTTGCATAGCATAGTCTCTACAGTGTGCTTACTAGGGAATAGCTCTGTGGCAGAGCACAGACAAAAATACATAATTTCATGTGTAAAAGAGCTCCTTTTGGACCAAGGAGTGTTTCAAGCTGACTTAGAAAGTTGATTAAAAAAAAAAAAAAAAGGAGTACACATAATTACTATGAATACTGTGAGGGGAAATAAAAAAAAAAAAAGACAGGGAACATTCATCCTCAACTAGGATTAATTTGCAGAAATTAAGTTCTTGCTGCACCATTTCAGACAGGGGACAGGTTTGATGTGTGGTGCACTTGGAAATCCCCTGGTAAATACAATTTCAGAAGCATTTTAGGCTATTTTCTAATTCAGAATGGAGACTGTGTGAGATGGGAAAGAGGAGCATCTAATTTCTGTGTATTTTGTTGAGGAGGGGTAGGAAGGAGAAGCAGCAGTAGTAATTCCAAGGCACCATTTCAGATTAGCATTCTACTGTCAGAATCACAATTATGAAACAGTGCATCACAATCACATGGTGCCTTCTACCTCAGGCCCTCAAATAAATTTGTAGACAGTGTCAGTTACAGCCTAGGAAATGTATATAGACGTCACTCCTAGATTTCATATGAAGCAACTCTAAAGAGAGTCTAACTTCAAGAAATGATTCTATGTACCAGAACAGTATTATTTTCCATGCATCAACTATGAAGCCATCTCCAGGAACATGGAAATATTTTTTTTCATTCTGCCATCCAAAATTCTACTTTTTTGCTCCTAAAGAACATGCATGCTTTTGGGATGAATAGAATTTATTTCACATTTACTAGGAACAAACCACAAATTGGAATATTCAATGAAGATGAACAGCATTTGTAAACAAATGTCCAAATGTATCTACAATAAATACTTTATTCTTAATGAATATCAATGACATTCTGTTTTCCTGATAAACTCTCAGCATCATCAGCCACTGGTAGAAAAAATTCTCCACTCAGAAATGTTTATGCACCTTTGCTAAGTCCAAAGCTGCCACTGGCAAAGCCAGCAGAATTTTTCAAGTGTAAATATTAGCATTCTATACAACTGCCACAAAAGGGTTCCACACTTTTCTTCATAAAGGTATTCCACCTGTGGGAGTGGAATTAGAAATGTCAAGTGACTGAAACTAGTTCACAGGCTTAATAGTACTCAGAGGCCTTCAAGAACCATTTAGATGTTGTATGAAGGGACGTGGTTTAGCTGGGAAATATCGGTGGTAGGTGGACAGTTGGATTGAATGATCTTGGATGACTTTTCCAACCTCAGTAATTCTATGCTTCTATGATTCTCTGAGGTTTTCCAATTCAATGAGGTGCTCAGCCTTTCTCCTTAAAGATGGAATATCTATCACTAGAATAGGCTCAAGCTTCATGTTTCAATTAACCAACAATTAATGGCACAACTGTTTGGTGCTAAGAATGCCTCACAGCACAGGAACTTCATTTACCACCAACTCTGGTGTCAATAACTAAAGTCAAACTAATCTTTTGGGTTTTTTTAAGAATTTCTCTGGGTACCGTGTCATAATTGCTTATCACCTGAATGAAAAGAGCTGCTGGTTATAAATGCAGTCTTATGAGGGAACATCTAGTATATATTTATTCCACATTATTCCACAGGTTATTCAACAACCTATGTCTCAGAGAAAAAAAGAAAAAAAAGAAAAAAAAAGACAGAGAAACAACAGAGCAAAATTTATCTTCTGCCATCAAAGCTGACCATTCCTACCAAAGGGTAGAGTATAATTATGAAAATAAGTTGAAAACTGACAGGAAAAGCCTATGTGGTATCTTGCATTCAAAGACATCCTAGTCTTACTCCACAGATAGAAATGTGGAGAGAGTCCACCTAAGATACATACCTTCAAAAAACACTTGGAAACAAGATATTTTGTGAAAAGTGAACCATTGCAAATGCCAAAAGATCTTTTTGAGAGGTAGGAGAAGGTGCCCTTCTTCTGGAACAAGGACACTTGTAGTCTGATTATCCAGGCAAGTGCGTAACAGTTGTGTCACTGTGGAAAGTCTATTTGAGCAGTGAAGCTCTCCATTCTCAATTCTCCATTCTCTCCTTTCTCAAAATGTAGCATTTACCTCTTTCCACTACATAACACCTTCACCCCTCACAGTCATGTGCGCACTTGTGCTCATGACTTGGGTGGACATGTGATTCACGTTTAGCATTCACTCAGTCTGTGAGGAAGGTGGGAAGCATCTTTGTGTTAAATATAAATCACTGTGCAGTGATAATACCCCACACCACAATGGCAATTCCCCTGGGGTCAGCACTGAACCCTAGAGTAATCCTGGATGACTGAGTGCCTAGCTTACGGCAGAGAGGGTAACAGATGTTGCAAACAAACTCATGTCATACCCCAGCCAATTTTAAGTCCTGAGATTCTCTCAGCTGGAATATGTGATGGTCTTGGTTGAACACCCCTTCCCTCCTTCCAGTCACTTGACATTTTTACTTTACAGGCTGAGAGAGCTGGGCTTGTTCAGCCTGAAGAAGAGAAGGCTGCAGGGTGACCTCACTGCAGCCTTTCAGTACCTAAAGGGAGCCTATAAACAGGAGGGGAATCAACTCTTTGAAAGGGTAGATAACTGCAGGACAAGGGGAAATGGTTTTAAGTTGAGGGAGGGGAGATTTAGGTTGGATGTCAGGGGGAAATTCTTTACAGAGAGAGTGGCGAGGTGCTGGAACAGGCTGCCCAGAGAGGTTGTGGATGCCCCTTCCCTGGTTAGATGGGGCCCTGGACAGCCTGGTCTAGTATTAAATGTGGAGGTTGGTGGCCCTGCCTGCAGCAGGGGGATTGGAGCTTGGTGATCTTTGAGGTCCCTTCCAAACCAAGCCATTCTATGATTCTATTATTCCATGCCCCCAAGAATCACGGCTAATCATTCCTGGCTCTGAAAAGATGAGTACATGCACTTAAGTGCTTCACAAAGGATGAGCCCCTGGAGCAGATAGCTCTTTTCCAAATATAGAACACCAGGAAGGCACTGCTGTGTGGCCAGCCAGGCTGCATCTCTAGAAATGGCACATAGCACGGCTAGTGACAGTGCCTCAGCACTTGGCACAAACACTCATGTTTGGAGGTGCTTATACCTCAGCTCATGCAATGGGAGAAAGCTGAAGCAGAGAGTGCAAAATGGCTTGCAGCCTGCCAACTCCATGAATCAATTTGAACTGTGTTTTTCTTATATGTCTATTATGTATTGTTACCTCCGGCATGAGGGCTTCTTTAAGCTGGTGACATATTGAATATATTACAGTGATTAAATCACAATAAACGTATCTCAGAATTAAATGGTTATTAAATGCTCCAAATCTCGTGATTTGTTTAAAAAAACAGAGCACCAAAGCTTGCAGGTAGCGAAGCACTTCTAAGCTCATCTATATGCGACCTCAAATAATTTTTCATGTCATTAAGCAGAACACTATTCCAGATTTATTTTAATAATTCATACATTGTTTCATAAATAAAAAACAAACGTGTGTTCAGCAGAGAGACCTTTTTTTACAAAAGAAATAATAAATTATTATTTCTTCCCTTAAAGAGATCTCTCTGCTGAACACTTGTTTGGTTTTTATTTATGAAACAATGAATTATTAAAATAAAGTTAGAAGCATGTTCCGTTTTAATGACATCAAAAATTGTCTGAGGTTTCTATACAGAATGTGCTTGATTTTGATTTCCTTGAAACCTCTCGCAGATTTTTTTTTTTTTTTTTTTTTTTTTTAACCAGAAAACTCAGTGATAGTCAGGAGGTGATTTGTCTTCTGCATGGGTTCAGAAGAACTCACTGCTGTTTATTCAGCCTAACCCTACCTCCCTGTCTGGATCTTGTGGGGAAAAAATGCACAAAGGAAACAAAGTGTCACGTAATTTTGTAAATATTAGAAGGTACTTGAAATAAACTCATATGCATTATGCAAACTTTCATGTCTTTAACTCCTTTTTGGGCTGTTTTAGGCTATTGATAAATTAAGTCCTGGTATTTTCACCTTCCCTTGTTTCATGCCTGTGTAGCAAATAGAGGAGAGAAGGGCTAACACATGTACATACACAAAGGTACCTTCTGCTCCCTGCATAAAGAACCAATATTTCAGCTCAACTGCTTACTAATCCTTCTGATTCATCAGAAAAGGAGCTGTCATTCAGAAATCACAACTGAAAAGAACCTGACTTCCCTGGCTGATGGGCTGCAGAACTGAGCATGCACAAAACATGCTGTTGGGTCTTGTTTCTCCAAGCAAGTAGCTGCATGTAATTGCAGAAGAGAATGGACCATACACGTGAAACCCACATTTACAGGAGCTCCCATTAGGGGAACAGAGACCATCAGCAGGCTGGTGCTCCATTCTCATATGTGCTCCCATGCATCAGATGTGCATCCTCCTCTCCCAGCAGATGACCCACTGTATCCAGATGTGTGAGCTGTTACCAGCTGTTACTATGGCTGGAGACACAGGAGGCAGAGCTGCACAGAGAAAAACTTAACTTTGCCATTTATGTCTCAGCAATATGAAAACCCAGAGACCCCTCAGTCTTTCACCAGCATCACTGGGCATGGGCTCAGCACCTAAAAGGGGATGGACTGGAGGGCTCAAACTCGTCTGACCTGCCTTCAGGCAGCTAATAATTCAGCACCCTCTATGGTCAGCAGAGGCATGAGTGTGTTGCCAGAGGCAATTCAGCCAGTCCTGGAAAGAAGGCATGGGCCATTTCCCTTCAGGTACCTGGTGGCATCTCTTTCTGTATAGACATACTTGTTTCACAGCCCAAGACACCTCCCAAAAAACAGGTGTCTTGAGATTGTGCAGGACGTAAAATTTAAGGCAAAAATGTATTTGTTCTAAAACTCTGATATGAATGCCTGAGTTTCAGGATTAGGCTACATTAAGTCTTCCTCCTCCTGAGAACTATTCACCAGTAACCAGAAATTCTTAATTTCTTAATATTTCTTAATATTTCAAAAGCTGGGGAAAATGCTTTACTCTTTTTTTTTTTCTTTTCTTTTTTTTTTTTTTTTCCTTTGAGTTTTGTTTGACTCACTTCTCCCTGTTGCCTCTCTCAGATCATTTCAGTGAGATGTGACAAAAAATCTGCTGCAGAATCCTCAAAGAACCATCATGGGGTCCTTTCCTTTCTATATTTGTCCTGACACAGCCAGATGAAATCAGCACAAAGGAAAAACAAATGGATAAATATTTCTTCCCACTGGACTGGTGAAGAGAGAGAAGTTGTGCCCTGCTGCAGATAAGAAAGTTAGTGATGATGATGAGGATGAGTAACTATGTATTTACTGATTCAATTTCAGATACCCACATCTCCAGTTGGAAGATGGGGCAAACAAATACCAGAGATTTCCCTCAGATACATTATTTGAGAAAGAGAGGCTGCTCACTCTAGAAATAAGGCAGCAAAAGCCTTAGGGGACAGAGTCAGAGGGGCTGTGTTGTACAGCACTGAGAAGCAAGAAGCTTTAATTAAACTTGCCTTTAGACTCATAGTCTTAGACAGCTTGGGGATTATCCAAGCTCTCTCTGGTTCATATTGCCTACCCAAAATATGCAGGAGAAAGGAAGAAGGAGGAAAGAAAATGCAGTCTGAAAACAGGACAAAGAGTCAGTTTAATACAAACATTATAAATATAATATGAACTAAAAGCAGGGCAAGGCCAAGTGGTTTGGCAGGAATTCAAGGCATTCAGGCTTGCAGAGAAAACGTATGGAAATTTTGTTCAAATGCTCAAATGAGTGCTGGAGAGCTTTAAAGCACTAGGTGTGAGCATCCATGCAAAGCCTTCAAAGTGACCATCCAGAAAATGCAGCTCTCTCACATACTTACTCCATTTCCCCAAGCAATAATGCTGTTCTACAACCACTTGTTTCCATATACAGTCTGCACTACATAAAATTGCTCTACAAAGTCTCTGCCCAGAGAATATTTGCTCCCCATTAGGCACATAGTGTCAAGATATTCCAGTCCTGCATGGATTAGTAGCGTTGTGATTCCACACAACACTCATGTTATCTGTACAGCTGGCAACTCCAGTGGTTAGAAGAATTGCCAGCCCTCCAACAATGTGTCTGCTAGTCCATTCTGCCAGCCTTGGAATCATAGAATCGTAGAATGGCTTAGATTGGAAGTGACATTAAAGATCACTGAGCTCCAACCACCTTGCTGTGAGCAGGGTTGCAACCCAACAGGCTGCCAAAGGCTCCATCTAACTGGGCCTTAAACGCCTCCAGTGATCTGCTCAGAGACAGCCCTCAACCCACAGATATCTTCCAAGCCTTCTGAGTTTCCTGTTGCTGGAGGCAAGAGAAGAACTCACAAATGACACCAAAGGACATCCTTAGATGATGCCAGTGGTGATAGTTCACAATAAGTCACCAAAGCTATTGAAGTTCTAGTGATAGGACAAGAAGGGTATTATGAAAGGTTTCTTCTCAGAAAGAATGGTGAGGATTGGAATAGGCTGACCAGAAAGGTGGTGGAGTCACCATCCCTGGTGGTCTTCTTCCCTGGTGGAAATATGGCACCAAGGAACATAGTGGGCATGGTGGTGATGGGCTGGCAGTTGAATTAGATGACCTTAGTGGTCTTTTCCAGTCTTAATGATTCTATCATTCATACCACCTGGGGATTAGACCATCTAGATAATTTTGTTCTTTATGCAAAGGTGAAACATCTGGCACACTAGTTAGGAATAAGAAAATGCTAAAGCAATACCAATTTGGTCCCAGATAAACTCTATCCATCTCATCACCATGTCCTGAGAAACAGTACTAATTAATTCCACTATAGTCACAGAATTGTAGAATCACAGAAGACTTCCAAGATCATCTGGTCCAACCATCAGTCTATCACCATGCCCACTAAGCCATGTCCCTATAAGTGCAGTCACTCTATACAGTTACATTTATTCCACCCCAGCGCTATTGACCTGTTCTGCACATGACCTGCCTATCTGTGCACAGAGCTGCACTGTGAAGTGCAGACCTCCCTCTTCTACTCTGTGAAAGCTCCACAGACACTCACGTCAGCTACACAGGCTTAAAAGCAGCTCCTGCCTCTATCATTCATGGAAGGACACAGCTTTCTTATTCCAGAGCTCGCTACTTTCCCACCGAAACAAAGGTTTGCTGTAGGCTTGAAGATAAAGAAGCTTTTTCTTTCCACACACCGTCACTCACAATAAATCAATGAGACGTCCTTCAAATACTTTTAAAACATTGTTGCTTTTTTTTTTTTTTTTTTGCTTTTTTTTTTTCCTATTGTAGCATTCTAAGCCTTTGCTGAGCAGCAGAGGCGCCTTGAAATTTTGCTGTGCAGATTTTTATTTCAGCTTTTTCTCCTGCCTGATCCCCAGACAAGGTGATGCTTGTGCATCCTGCCAGGGAAGCACAGCAGCTGCCTGCACCACCATAAAGCCCTGAGGAGTTCACAGTAGGGATGCTGCTAACCCATGGAAAGCTTATATTTCTACTAGTCCCACATTCTCACCTTTTCAACAAGACACCTGAACTTGCTGACCCAAATGTGATGAGAGGTAAATGCTGTGGGTGCAAATCCGTGCACACCTCATTTTTTTTATGAGTTCCTTTGCATTTAATCTCACTGATTGCTAGTCAGTTTATGTGAAAAAGCAGGATTCTTCCTCCAGATATTGTGTATAATAGAGTGCTTACTCTTTTACAATACTCTGTCAAAAGGAATCCCTTGCATATAAAATACTCAGGGGATCAATGCAGCCTGGTAAATCCTACCATCTGTTAGCAAGTGGAAAGTTTGACACCTCAGCTTGTGGTTCCCAAGCAGTTTGCTCCAGCATATCATCGACTCAGAGTTCCTCAGACTGCAATTCACTTGCAGTGTTATTTTTCAAACTGAGCATAGGCCAAGACAAAAACTACCCCAGTTATAAGATAATTACCACATGACCTGTGAAAACAGTTTATGCTTTCTAGGATGAGAAGGAATGGCTTCGAGTTGTACCAGGACAGGTTCAGGTTAGATATTAGGAAAATCTTATTCTCAGAAAGAGTGATAATGCATTGGCTGCCCAGTGAGGTAGTAGAGTGATCATTCCTGGAGTTGGCACTAAGGGACATGATTAGTAAGCACGGAGATGTTGGGTTGATGGTTGAGCTAGGTGATCTCAGTGATCTTTTCCAACCATAATGATTCTACGATTCTATTATGAACTGTGCTTTTGGAATCACATATAAGCTCCAGAACACAATATTTCCTATCTTTATAAAGAGTAAAGCCCTATTTCCGCTGAAATCACAGAATCACAGAATCACTAAGGTTGGAAAAGACCTATAAGATCATCCAGTCCAACCATCCACCTATCACCAATGGTTCTCGCTAAACCATATCCCTCAACACAACATCCAAACGTTCCTTGAACACCTCCAGGGTTGGTGACTCCACCACCTCCCTGGGCAGCCCATTCCAGTGCCTGACCACCCTTTCAGAGAAGTAGTATTTCCTAATATCTAGCCTGAATCTTCCCTGGCGCAGCTTGAAACCATTCCCTCTAGTCCTGTCACCAGTTACACGAGAGAAGAAATCAATAAGAAAACTCCCACTTATTTCCCTGAAGCCAGAATTCCCCCCTCAAGGTTCTTGACCTTTTAATTTAAAAGAAGAGCTTTTTGCCTGTGAAACAAAAGTAATCATGCAAATCTACCTTTCCAAGTTTGCATACCAACAGCTTTAGCACATCAGTTGTTGCTCATAAATTCTCAAGCAACTTTAAAACAAAATTGCCATGACATGACATAGGTCGCTTTCACAGGAACCATTAAAAATCAAAGCTGGTCTGAAAAAAACACAGTTTCCCACATTTAAAAAAATAATAAAAAAAAAAAAAAAAGGAAAAAAAAAGTAGAAGTTATGGGAATGGACTTGCTTTTCACACTCCAGATGAGAGGAATTTTACACTTTTTCCAGCTGAAACCAACTAATGTGTCTGCAAGAGTTTGTTTCCTGCCCTCTTTTTCATTTTGAACCTATTGATGAAAGATTAGTAACTGCCTGCTCAATTTGTCAAGACTGGGTAGTATAATTACAATTGTTTCTAATATCCATGTATTATACTGCTCCTCATGACAAGACAAATGCTTACCTGGTGGGAAATAAGGAGGTGCTGTAGTTTTGTTTTTGCTCTCTTCGCACTCTCTCAATTGATTCTGAAGAAATGCAACTTGTCGACGTATTGCAAGGATATTGTTTTTGTCCATTGATTCTAGTTCATTTACCAATATAGTTAGATTTGTGATCTAAGGTGGAAAAGAAAGACAAAAAAGAAAATTTTATATTCCTGTCAACTTTATTTTATAGATATTTGTAGGCAGGTTTCATCGCATCACAGAAGATGCTGTAAAACAGTTCTTAAGGAATATTCTGCCAGCCTTACATTTCCAGCAGTGTAATGTGATCAGCTTTATCTGCTTTGACACTCAGCTCTATGCAAAACATAACGCAAAATAGTGTTAATTTATACATAGCGTAAAAGTAGGTCCTAGACCTAGTAAGTCCTAGACAAGTGCACACTATTGTATGTGAAAAAGTACTTACTCTTGTCTTGAAAAGTATCTTGAAATTTTATTTGCAAAGATAAGTGATGTTCTCAATCACCTACTTGATCTAGAGGACAGTGGAGAAACTAACGATATTTCATTTTCATACGAAGCAATTATTCTCTCTAGGTGAGTGATTAATTACAATTTTGAAAATGTGATTTATAGTCCTCTGGGAAGGTGATAGTCTTTCCCATTTCTTGATTTCATATTGATTGGGTCACTGCCCTAGCAACCAGAAGCTAATTTTTTAATTATCTAAGTTAAAGCACAGAGGCTTTCAAGCATGGGTGTCAATAAATTCATATTTATTATAATAATTTAATAAGTTCATGCACTTAATGCTGTGCAAAAAAAATCTCTTCCAGGCAGAGAGTTGGCAAAAATAAAGAGGACTCCATTTGTTTGGATGGAGTTTTTGCTTTTCTGTACTCTGCATTAAGGAAAAAGGCATTAATAAATTTAAGGTCAAGCATTTCTTTAATTTGTTCTGATGAAATACTGAAGTAATACCACTGGCTGCAGTAGAGATAGGCTACATTTCTAGCACCTAAACACTAAAGAGAGTATAGACATTCTGTATATTGACTCCCTTTTGGCTAATTGAGATTCTAGCAGTACCTCCAAATATATTTGATCGATGATGACATTGCTCCCAACAACACTGGATTTCAGCTGAGTGACCAGCCTTTCTAGGTCACTGATTTCCACTTTCAGTAACTGGAAGTCCAGTTCTGTGTAAGATATGCTGCTCTGTTCCATATGCTCCACTCTGATGGTTATATTAAGAATTTGCTGTTGATATAGTTCAATCCTTTTTGAATACTCTTTAACCTTAAAGAAAGGGAAAAAAAAAAAAAAAAAGAAAAAAAAGGTACATATTCAGGTCCAGGTTAGCGAAGAAAACAAGCCTGTTTGACACATTTATCATATTTCTTAGTACCCCATAAATAACTTACACATACTTGATATACTTACTCTTCACATAAACTACGTAAACAAAATGATCATCACATACATAAAAAATGTAAAACTTAACCCTCATTTATTGTTGGCAGTTCCACATAGTCCCCTCAGGAACGCCTGGGGATAACTGAAGGCAGAATTCTACTCAGAATCTTCCTTTTTTTTTTTTTTTTTAATTCTTTGCCAATATTGTCTCTGTAAGCTAATTTTATCCTCAGTATGCCAACAACCTACATTGGCAATTTTTTTTATTAGGAAAGCTGAAGTGCATTATCTCACAAAAGCAACCCAAGGAGGCTGAGAAGTGCAACAAAGGATTTCCACGTTTTTCAAATTTACTTCTTATTAATTCGAAATCCAAATAGGATTTTAACCTGTGTTACATTTGAATTGTGCCAAAAGTTTCTAGAATTGGTTTTTGTTTCATCTTTGGGGGGTATGGAATGTTTAAACATAGTGTTAAAAATCAAATTGCATTTAAATGAAAGTGGAAATTTTATTGCAGGCTTTAGCTAAATTGATTTACATAGCAGCCTCTTCAGCCCTTGAACCATTAAATGGTTGTCCAGATGAATATGTTTTCACATATGTATCTGCTGAGGTAAAGGTCACAGCACATGCATTCCAATGCAGAATTTATACTGTAAGAATATTATATAGACTCGGAACGTTCCTATGAAAATTTAAGTTCCTTTAAATTTAACACTTCAGGAAATTTCTCTCTCATATGCTTCATAGAAATCACATTATTTTTTTTACCTTTAAACCAATATAATCATATCACAAGAGTTAAGTAGGAGTAATTATTAGTTCATTGTACCAATAACTCCGTATTTATACCTCAACTGGTATTTGTAGTATAAGCTCCTTGTCAATTTCTGTAACTGTATCTTCATCAATTGAAATACTTTTAGTCCCCAGCCTGTCAATCATTCTTGCATTATCTTAATTTTTTTCCCCACCACCTCTGGAATGGCCTTCAAAATCCTGTCAGGATGTGAAGACCACCGATTTGCTGTTTCTCTCAGCTTCTGAGACTGGAAGACCAGCAAATACACATCAAATAAGTCCATGTAATTTTTTCTGAATCTCTTGTGGTCTAAAAAATATGTATGGGAGCTCATGAAGGACAATAAGGATCTTTTAAGATCAGAAGATATCCAGAGAACTGGTTTAAGGAGAACCATAAACATCAAGGATCCCTTTTTTTAAAAGTATAATTTTCAGTATCAGCATAACTGCACTATAAATCTGAAATAAACAGGCATGCCATAACAAGCTGCAGCAGAAACACCCTGACTCATGATGGATGCTCTAGATCTCTTAGGCTAAGCCTGGGTAAAGAATAACTTAGATATTTGTTACAATGAAGGATCAAAAATGACAGCACAGAAAGACCTAGTTCCTCATATCTGGCTGAAAAGAAAAAAAAAAGGGGGCAGCTGGGATGCCTTATTTGAGTTGTCATCGTTACCTGTTAGGAGAGAAGATTTGGGCAATGTTCTTGGAAAACCAAAGTCTATATGGACCTTGCACTTTTACTGGTCACTGAAATCATTTTGGAATTGGAAGATATCCTCCAAAATAGTTTGAGAAAATATCTTTAAAGGTTAGTGTCTAAACTGTACATCTAGATTTTGCACAACAAAAAAGAAAGAGATATGATTGCATTCTGAAGAACATACAGCTGGTCCCTGTCTGAACAAAATTAAATTACACTGGTATGTGAAACTACAACTATCGTAGAGGTATTTGGAAATCTATTTGGTTCCTATTGGTCTATTAGGACTATTAGTCTATAATTATAACTAGTCTGTTTTTAGTTTAATAATTAGACTATTATTAGTCTAATAGTCCATCTAATAGTCCAAAGGGTTATTAGCTTGTCCCACACTTTGTTGCTATTAATATTACCAACATTATTAGTATTATTTTTATGATTGTTTTGTGCAGACCAGTCTACAAATAGCTGAAACAGATCCTTGGATTTAATGACAGCTACTCATTAGTGAGAAATCTGTGAATTTGCAGTTTTCTTCATCCAGACAACCATCCAGGTCTTTCAAGGACACCAACACAATACTGCATAGCTGAGAGCTGTCCATGTAAGTTGAGCCTGAACTAGCTCCAGCATTCTGCAGTACTCTGTACAGCCACACCAGTATCTCAATGGATTTAAGCTCATAGGACCCCTGGCTAATCATTAGACAAACGCAGTTTTCTTAGCAGTGATGTTTTAATAGATCTATACTGTTTCTGCAGATAAAACCAGAACATACACCGAGCACTGTGATGCAGAGTGGACGTTCCAGCCTGATCAGATCTGGCTCATGGATTTCTGTAGCTGAGAAATATCAGTTGGAAAAAAAAAAGGAACACGGTGTTGCTCTGTTGCTTGGCAGACAGATTCAAGCAGCTTGTAATTCCTGCTCTCCTACAGTATCTGTGTGCTAGCGACTGGCTGTTGTCTCTTGCTGGACTGGCACAGAAATTCTGTGCATGGCCCATGTTTAGGGACACAGACCGACAACTCGTTCTGTCTGCTGTCACACTTGTCATAAAAGCCTTAAGTAGGGCATAATGAGGGCAAAGAGCTTGAAATAGTCCTTCATAGGAAGAAAACAGAGCCATGTGATGTACATGTAGGGGAAGAAGAAAAAAAAAAGAACTAGGTTCATTTGTTCCTCCACCCTCATGGAATGAAAAGGGCAGGAAAAATCTTCAGTGCTCATACACTGTGTCGTTTACCTGCAATTGGTATTTATCAAAACAGGTTTTGCAGCATGCAAACAGACACTTCTCCAGCATACATTTGGAGACTACAGAAGAGGGAACTGAAGTGCAAGATGAAGATGCAAAAGAAGAAAAGAAAAGTAAACATGGGTAGATGAGAAAGAAGTGACAAACCAGGAGTCCTAGAAAGCCACTTGGCCTGGGGCTTCGGGCAGCTGTGACTTCCACAAACCCATAACGAGCCCAGCTGGCAAGCAGTCTGCAAGTTGACACTAAGAAGAATTTCACTCCAGGTTGATCTATTTTGAAAACAGTTCTTCCTGATGGAGGGTAGGAGTGCTTTTTTCTCCTGTCTTTGTTAAGTGGGGATGTCGTGACCATTGTGAGTTAAGTTCTGAAAAGTACTCTCTCTCCTTGGGATAAAGTGCTGATCCATCCCTGTTACTGAGGTGTCCTCTCCCCTTTCTTATTGAGAGGAGCAGCCAATTCCCGCTTTGATTTGAAAGGTTAATTTTCTTCTGTAATCATAATTATGCTGGCAAAGGTTGATGTGACAGAGGAAAAATTAGTCTGGTATTTTCAGCCTACAGTTTGCACTCATTTGGCGCATGAGAGCATCTCTTTATCTGCAAGCTTCCCTGCCTGCTGTTTCTATAAAAGGACCCCCTTGCTTTTTTGAATTAGTGTACAATCAGGCAAAAGGTTAACGATTCAATCAGGCTGTTTATCTGGGACTTGTAGCACATGGAAAGCATCCTTAAGAGGGCCCAATCCTGAAGCTCTTACCCAGGAAAATCTCTCACGAGCCTCAAAGAGTGTTTTAAAAGACTGAATAAAGCATGGGTTCCTAGTGTCCAAAAAGCAAGCACTTAATAGAAATTACCACCACTGTGGTGAGACTAGGTTGAGCTATAAAGACAGACTGGGATCTGAATTGCCAACAGAATTGCAGATGGCAGAATGATTCCCCAGGATTTTGTTCAGGATATTCTGTTCTAATAATGGTTAATAATGAGAACAAGGCTTTCTTTTCACTGTTCCATTATTTTCTTCTTTCTGTGAGTATTATTACAACCAAAGTAGTATATGGGACTTCACAAGAAAGAAGCTGAAGTGTTTGTGTGTACAGAGACTGATGCATAACAAGATCTTAGATTGCTTAAGTTCAGTTATCAACAGGGCAGTGCTTGGGAGATTTCTCCTTTCTGCAGAAAAACAACAACAACAAAAACACAGAAAAACAACATCATAACTGATATAATTTGCACACATACAATTACGCCAAAATACAATGTTTGTTTTTATTTCTGACCCAAAGTGTCTCTTTGCCTGTATCACGCTGCAGTGTATGTCACACTTCATCTAACCAAATGCATTGTAACACTGCTTGGCTGATTGGTCTCGACAGGATAAAATCCAGTGAAGCCTGAGTGAGGTCAAGAATTGTCACTGTCTGCAGCTAGAATTGAAAACCAAGGTCAGCATCTACCCTGCAGTACACTGCTGAGCACCTAAAGACAATACAGTTATACCAGTTTATACCAGCTGGCAGCTTGGACATTAAAGTTCACAGCAGGGATTCAGCTTGCCCTCACTTGAAAGATGAGTTTCAGATACAAATTTAGACATCTAATTTCAGGTATCTATAGTAACCTGTGTCATCCTATGAGCAAGATGCCTGAAGTCCCTGTAGAGTCAATGGACATCTGAGGTTGTCCACACAGAAAAATCAAGCAGCAATTGAAATGCACTACAGATCTGTGAGGTTGGCAGATATGCCACTCATCCTAAATGGAACATGCACTGCTCTGAGGATAGTACTGGTAAGAGGCCAGTTCCACCATGGCAAGCAACTGGGAAAAGTGGTACAAAAACACCTTGAAGAATCACACCAAGTTTCTGTTTGGGAATCATGGCCTTGCTCTTTTCCCAGTGCAATTAGTTTCAAATGCTGGCAGTGACCACAATGGGAACAGTACAAAGATCTAAAATCTCAGTGACTGTCATGGATCATTAACTGAGCAACACCTCCTTCCTGCAGGAGGACAAGTAACTCCAGTGCTTGGGAATAGTGGGGCTTCTGTCATCTTACCCTCCACAACCCCACTGAGAGCTGAAGGTGCTTCATCATCAGCTTCAGTTCTTTCAAATCTGGTTATTTCAACTGATCTTTCCATAGGATCCTCTGCCTGTTGCTGTGGTGTTTTATGCTTAATTTCTTATCTGTTCCTGATTATACCAGAAGAGGTTTATGAATATTTATGGTTAGAATTTATAATTTAATGCTGTGCCTTTTCTGCTGATTAATTCAAGGACACTTCATTCCTTAAGATGCCCGGTTCCTGAAGAAAACACTTTCTGCTGGACACCTCATCTGAATCCTGAATGTTTATCCACCACCAAAAGTCGAAGCCTTACTTCTGCCCTCACAGGCAGCTTCCCCCATTGCACTGCAGCATGTGTAGGTCTGTCTGAATTCCTCAGAAATTGATTTCATGCGACAAGCACCAAAGTAGCAGAAGAGGTATTTGTCTTTAAAAATAATACATAATTCACCACTCTCCCTGCCACAGCCTCAGATGTTGACATAGAACTTTGTTTGTTGGATTGATTTTTAATCCATGAAAACAAAAAGAGTGAGGAGACAAATATTCACCCACTTCCTCACTCTGAGATGTGTTGACCTTACTCCTCCTTCTATTCATTTCCCTCTTGTAATCTGGCTGGCTGGATACAAATGATAACACAAGAAACAGGAGGCTTGGCTTCCTCCAGTTCTGCATAGCAATCACAAACCAATAAGAATGAGCCTAAAGGTAAAAATACAACCCTCCTTCCTAAAATGCCATGCGTCTTTAGCTGCAAAGGCGTAGAAAAGAAACTAAGGATATTCAAATGTATGACATGCTACAGTGTCAGAGATTTGAGATTTAATCAACCTTCTCCCTGTCCTTACAGAGCCCTCTTTCCTGCTGTTTGAAAGGCAGGTCACCAAAAAGTGCTGACTGCTGTACTCTTTCACGGGAAACCATTTTTCAGCCCAGATACAGTTGTTATATTTGTGAGAAAAGAACACCTTACTTGAGAAAGCTCTGCCTCAAATTTCTGCAAGAGCGTTGTGGCTATCATTTGCAATTGCTCAGCCTTCTGCACAGGAAAGGTGGTATCCGTCAAGTACACAGAGCACTGACAACTTCCATGGTCATCCAGAGAGCCAGTCACGTTGGCAAAGAGCTGCAAAAACAAGGCAATAATGAAAAAAATGTTAATATTCTTCTCTAGAACCAATAGCTAATGCCTGGCAATAATCTGACAATCATAGGATTAACAACTTTGCTGATAGTTTTTTTTTTTTTTTCACCTTTCTATTCCAAGGAATTCCTATTATCTGGTAATTTTATTTTATTTTATTTTTGGCTTAGCATTACAAATCTTTCAGAAAAAAAGTTAAATGTTGCTGTAAAAATGTAATCTTCGGAAAAACAGAAGCATATAATAGTCCTTACTTACCCAGCCTGCAATAAGTTACCCAGAGAAGCTGTGGGTGCCCCAACCCTGGAGGTGCTCAAGGTCAGGTCTTTATGGGGACCTGGGCAGCCTGAGCTGCTGGGTGGCAATGCCCATGTCAAAGAATTGAGACTGGATGATCTCTGAGGTCCAACACAAGCCATTCTATGATCCTATGAATCTTATGGACAATTATCCTAAGAAAATGAAAGAATTTTACCAGGAGGTGAGAAACCACACAACAGCAAGACAATAATAACTTAGTAACTTATGTCCTACATTTACTGCTCTGTTTATCTGAATTGAATTAATCAAATCATCTAGTTATTTCCACGCATAGAGCTGGAAGCAGCAAAATAGAAAAACAGTGAGTGGGAAAGTTTTGAAAAGAAACATGCTTTGTTTGAAATTTCTTAGCCAGCCCCAGCAAACAGGCATGAATTTAATTATTTACTAGTGAAAGGCGAAGAACTAAATATTCAGGCTCAAACTAATGTAAATATACCTTTTTTCCTACAGTGTTGAACATCACACTACACATCACAGCCAACTCATCCTCAGCCATGGATAGCTTGCAAAACTATGACCCATACCATTAGCATGAATTGCCTTGTCCTGGCTGTCTGCACACTCAGGGCATCACCACCGGAGCAATGGATATGGTGTTTGGAAAGGTCAGGGCTGGCAATTCATGATTGTGCCATAATTTATAGCCAAATCATATAATTTCCACTGGGTTGAATTCAGAGCATGTTTGGGGCAGTGAAATATTTGGGTTTTGTTTGTACAGAAAACATTTGCCAGTTCATAAACCTATCACAACTGTATTAATAAATTTATTTATTGTTACTTTAAAATATTCTGGCACATACTTCAGTGCAGCTGCATATTTTAAAGCTAGAAGCTTGCTCTTCAAATACACTTTTCTCTATAATCTCTCCTCTTGCCTTGCAGAAATACCAGTGTTATTCATCTATTTTCTTATTCTCCCTCCCTCTTAAAAATCAAAAGAAGCAAACAACAAAACTATTAACCAAAAGACAGAATTTCAGCACTTCTTCTTTCACTTTTTCACAGTGATTTCAATTAACTTCCTCACCACCCAACCAGCCCAGTGATGGCCAGCAGCAAAGCCCAAGAATAGAGCAGCAGCAAGAAGGAATGATCCAAGTTCACACTTCTGGCAACCTCTTTCTGCAGCCATAACAAACAGCATGTGCCTCATTTTGAAAGAAATCATGAAAAGATGTTTTATCTGTGTTATTCAAGCACCATGGTCCTTAAAACTTCACTCCAGGCCAGACTACTGAAGACATTTAACATGAAAAGAAGCAAAGAAGTATCTCGTAGGATGCAAGAGTGTCCCAGCGCGTCGTTTCTCTTGATTTCCTTGCCAGATAGGTTACGAAAGCACTTCTGAATATCACACTGAAAACATACTGCAAACTGATTCTGAGTACCTTTAAAGATACATCTAACAGAATGTAAACTAGTATGAAAAATAAGTCCCTAAGTCCTTTGGTCTTAAGAAGGTCACTTGGGAGCTTTTGCATCTCTGATTCCTCTACATAGGCATGATAAGGATGGTACATTGCTCAGCAATAACAGGAGAATAAATAGGAAGGGGAAAAAGAAAAAAGAAAGAAAGAAGTATGGCTTACAGAGTATCTGTAGGACTGTCATGTGCACTGGCATGCTAAGTGTCGAGTGGAAGGTCTTGTATTCCATCCTTTGCTTATATAACACAGATATATATGTGTACATATTTAATATATATGCATGCATATGCTAGAAGAGAGTATACTACACATAGAATAGCATAGTATGTACTACACATATGCATGTGTTTCTATATCTAGAAATGTGTGAAATACAGGTTTTACATTTCACTAAACTACAGTCCTAACTATACAGAGCCATCCATTTTTTTCTAGTGGTACAATGCTTATTCCATATGTCAAATAAACTCTTCATAAGTTTACTCAAATGATCACCCGAAATGATCCTGCAGAAAAACCTCCAACTTGGGCATTCAAATTCCCTATGGAAAAACAATCATTCTATTTTAATATTTGTGTTGAAAGAGAGCCTAGATTTGAAGGCACAGCTTCTCTGCACTCAGTGCTATTTATATGCGTGCCAAGAGACAATTTTCCCAATGGAGAAGACAGCCTAGGCAGGGAAAACTACTTCCTCTCTTCCATTGACATTGCTAACTTTAGGATTATGATATTGATGAGAAAAAGAAGCATTTTTTAGTTAAGATCCTCTTAGTCCTCTTGGGTCAGCAAGTGCTTCAATCAAGATATAATGTCAGTCAAATGATGACCATATAGCAAAAATGTCTTTCCTTATCCTATGGGAAGATGCACAGGACAAGCTGTTACTTTTGGTGGCTTTGTGTGTTTTTTAAAGTTTAATAATTTACGCTGAATCTTTAAATGAGAGCAAACTGTCCTAGCCTACAGCAAGGACTCGACAGCAACATTTCACTGTAAAATTAAGCTGTTACATATACATATTTGAAGCTATGAGAAATGTTTCTTCCCCACATCCTTTCAATTTAAGAAAGATACCAAGAGCCAACAGGTACCCAATCTGCTGAAAACCAGAAAATGTATTCAGTTACCTAATCTGCAAATTAGAGTTACATCCCCAAAACAGCCTAACAATTTCAATGCTTCATTTCCAGTTATTTTGCATCCCAGTGGCATTCACAATTCTGAATTAGCTTCTCGCTCTTCCTAAGACAGAATGTGATCCACAGAAACCATATGACAAGGACAGGAGCCATTTCAGCTGTACTATAAGGAGATGGATGGGTTTGGGGTCCCGCTCCTAACTCCATTTAACTTTTTAAGCTCTCAGCTGGAGGTGGAGATTTAACACTCTCTTTCAAGAGGTTTCTCCATACATCCTACACTGGGCTAGCCTGGGTGATGAAAACCTGCTGTCAAGCTGCCTACTGCCTTTGACTTGAGCTAGAGCTGTGCTTTGGGTAAACACTGTTCTTGATGCTTAGGTTTCAGGACCACCCAGAGCAATTGTAGCCTGTAGAATCATCTCCAAAGCAAACATATTACTGAGCATGGGTGGCATGAGAAGGTGGCAAAGAGATTCTGAAATCCATAGACCTTGGACTTGAGCACTGTACCAGAATTCTCAAAAATCATGTTCAAGTCCCCCTACAAGTAAATAGTTGAGTAAAATTTGAACTAAGTAGAACAGGGAGAATCAAGATTTTCTCACTCTCATCAGCCTCTAGAGGACACTTTTTAGAGATGACAGAATATTATTTCAAGGCCCTACTCTCATTTGCATGAAGAAGACAGAATTGAACAGAAGTCTTCCCCTTCCTCCAGGGAGGTCATCACCACCAAACTGTTTGAAAATCTGTCATCAGATCTCTGTGGCTCCAACTGTTTCATGTCTGGAATGCAATTCAGTAGTCGTAAGGGCTGTATCAAATCATTGGATGTGACCAAAGCACAGAATGACGTGGCAACAACACTGACAACTTTGGGAATTCATCTCTTCATAGATCCTAGATCACAGAATCACAGAATTGCAGGGGTTGGAAGGAACCTCCAGAGATCATCGAGTCCAATTCCCTTGCCAAAGCAAGCTCCCTACATCAGGTTGCATAGGTAGGTGTCCAGGGGGCCTTGAATGTCTCCAGAGAAGGAGAATTCACAGCCTCCCTGGGCAGCCTGTTCCAGCACTCTGTCGCCCTCACCATGAAGAAGTTGTTTTGTATATTCTTATGCTCCAGTTTATGGCCATTTCCCCTTGTCCTGTCCCCACAGACCACTAAAAAGAGGTTGGCCATGTCCGTTTGTGTCCCACACTTAAGATATTTATAAACATTATTAAGACAATCTCTGAGTCTTCTTTTCTCAAGGTTGAACCAGTTCGCTTAGCCTTTCCTCACAGGGGAGATGCTCCAGGGCTTTTATAATCTTTATGGCTCTCTGCTGGACTCATTCCAGGAGATCCTTGTCTTTTTTGCATGCTGAGCCCAGAACTGGAAACAGTACTCAAGATGAGGCCTGACCAGGACAGAGTAGAGGGGAAGATCACCCCTCTTGACCTGCTGGCCATGATCCTTTTAATGCACCTCAGGATGCCATTGGCCTTCTTGGCTGCCAGGGCACTCTGCTGTCTCATGGCCAATCTGTCATTCGCGAGGACCCCCAGTTCCGTCTCCACAGAGCTCCTCTCCAGCAGGTCATCCCCCAACTTCTACTGGCACATGCTGTTATTCCTTCCCAGATATAAGACTCTACACTTGCTTTTGTTAAACCTCGTCTGATTTCTTACTGCAACATCTGGGTAGCCTGACTTACCTGGATTAGGGTTAAGCCTCCAAGTGACTATGCTGCATTTAAAAAATGCATGGAAACTTCTCAGTTATACTCTTTTTCAGACTTTATTGAACAGTTAGCAATGGTCATACCTTTGGGGAGGTGTGCTGGCTGGTAGTCTTCTCATTAAGCTGAGTCAGATATTGAAGTGTGCTGACAGGAGGAGTCTAAAATGGAAAGGAAAGCCTCTTTCAGTGCAAATTCCTGCATTTGTCACCTTCTCTTCTCCACCATCCTACAGCTACAAAGCACTTTGATTTTACTATGGGAGCCATCCCCAGAAACTATAAAATTAATTGGCTTCTCTTGACAACTAGCATTTCCCTGAGCACACTGTCACTTCTCAGACACCTTGTTCAAAAGACAGGCTATGTGAGGACAGAGGAAGGCAGGGGATGCTTAGCCTGCTCAAGAGGTGTGAGCTGGGGCCCTGACAGACAGATCTGGCAGATCTGTGTGGCAGTCGAAAACAACAGCACTGTGTCCCCCTACCCTAAATTCACAGACTGCTGTTCTTCCAGCAGTGACATCTGCTCCAGGCCGCCCAGATTGCGCGCCAGTCTCTCAAAGCAGGACTTGCTGCCCCTTCAATCTAAGCCATCAGGTTGCAAGCTGTGACAGCTGGGACACGTGTCCCACTCTGCTCACAGTGGAAGGGACAGCATCGAGCCATGGGGAAGGAGCACGAGGTGAGCTGCCACGTTTCTCAGCTGGGAAGCTGATCCACCTGGGAGTTTTTTATATAATAAAACAACATACATCCCTTTTAATGTTCAGATGTGAACATATGTGCCTCCCTGTCACAGAAAGGAGAGCAGCTGTCACTGTGGCATTGTGCATCCCTGGAGGTCTGCCACGACTACACGGAGTGTGCTGAGGATGGTGTGCCATGGTGATGCAGCATACTGCTGCTGAAAGGAGAGCCTCATCAAAACCTGTTACAAGGTGGGAATTGCAGCAACATACCCCCAATGTCAAATGGTGTGACAGACAAAACAACAAATGGGCTTCCCCCCAGGAGGACACCTGTTGCTCAGTATTGCCGCATTTCCCAAATCCCAGCCCCCATTCCTGAGCCAGAGGATGATGGGGAACTCCAAGTGGACAGCAAAGGGGACAGCATGGACAAACTTTTGTAGGACAGTTTATCAAAGCAATCCATTTGAACAACCATATGTGCATTCAGGCATGGTGTGAGAGTAGGTAGTAGCAATTAAATTACACAAATGCAGAACCAGCTCTAAGCTAAGCAGAATGAGAAGAAATATCTCCTATTTAAGTTTCCTATCCTCAGTTTATCAACATATATTTAAATCTCCTTCTTGACTTTTGCAGCTCTCTGTTCATTATGCAGGTAAATGCACATTCCAGGAGGTGCTGCATCCACTGCCTGCATTCACAGCACTTCGAAACTTCAAAAAATGTAACTAGGTATTCCAGGTTGGTGGCTAAACCAGACGTATCAGAGTCACTGAGAGACAAAGTGGGAGTATTCCTAATGTTAACTGTAGAAATAGTAAAAGGCAGCCTCTTGGGTCAAGCTAAGACTAAATGTTTTCTTTCATTTGGGAATGCTTAAAAGCTATTTTGCAAACTTTTTCTAATGACAATTTAAGCCTAGTTCTAAGTAAAATGAGACCATAGAAAATCAAAACAAATCTCTCACTAATTCCATTTTTTGCATATTTTCAAAGTTTTCTCTTCTCCCCTCCTTCCTGTTACTTGTTCCTGATTGATGTCTTCGACTTGAACTTCTATCGTGCACAACCAGATACAGTTTTAGGGGGAAGAGGGAGAACACTCCATGCAAAACACCCAGCATGGCTTTCATGTGCCTGGACAGCAATTATGACAGCAATCAAGCAGTTGGGAAAGCCCCCGCCTTCCAACTCCTTCCACATCAAAGATGTGTATCCTTTCCTCTTATAAGCCCTTGCTAATTAATTAGAAGCTATACAGAGCATTTAATATCCACTGAGATCCTCAATGGGAGTTGCACTCATCTAACCAAAGGCAGAATTTGACTCTGATTTTAAACCCATGCCTCATTTTCACATTTATTACCCAGTCCCTGTACATTAGTCGAGAGGAGGATGGAGAAATACTTTAAACTTTCTCCATGCAAAGATCTCAACATTTATCTAATAACTTCCCAACAACCTGAAAAGATTTTTGCACCAATCTAAAGGACATGAGAAGAACTAAAGGCACAAAACTTGGATGATGATATCCCTTCTTACCACTTCTGTAGCTGCCATCGTGGTTGCCTGTGTGATTGTGCCCTGCACACACACAAGGAGCAGCAGAGCCACCTGCGTGTTCTTCATCTCTGCCAGCAGATGTGACGGTCAGGAGAGTGGGAGCTCTTTTTATCATAGGGGCTGGGGATTTCCCCAGCCAAATCTTAAGGAACTTACCGGATATTTTATGTTTTTTGAAAAATGATGTCGTAAAATCTAATGAAGGCGTCACATTACTAACACACAAAGACAAGTTACTCACTGTCAGAAATTAACTGTCACCCGATTTCCTGAAAAGAAAGCGTTCCCACATGGTGCATTATCTAATCTTAATCGTGGTTATGTAGGATAACAGGTGCTTATTTGCTACAGCGGGTTGTAAGAACTTCCTCTTAATGTGACTCAACCACAAAAATTCTCATAGATCCATCCTAAGATATGCAGACAATACAGGTCCGGGTGGTCTTTATTCCTCTTCATAATAACAGAAAAAAGCAGATCAGATGAGACATATGCAACAGAAACACCCTCCATATACTTGAAAGCCCAACAGACCTTTTACAGTAAGTTAAATGTGGGGTCTCAGCTCTCACACAGCACAGGTGGGAAAAAATTTCCTCCTATTGATATCTTGTACATTATCAGCATGTACCCATTAGTGCTTACTCATACATCAACACTGTGTTAATGCTTAAGCAATTGCTCTCTTTTATGGAGTTTCATGCCAGCTGGCCACAATAACTCATTGTTCTGTCTTTGAAGCTCTGACCCAGAGAGATAAAAAAATCTGTAGACAATGCATAGCCTCACACTCTCCAGCTGCAACTACAGCTACAGTACTACTGGTAGTTGTTTTCTGCCATCCCCAAGGCATCCAAACTTCCACGTGAGATCCACACTTCCACCAAGCGACCGGCTACAACCTCAGTGGCGTCAACTGCGAGTCCTCAACTAGCAAAACAGGGATTAAAATAACTCTTCAGACTCTGTGGATGACTTAGAAAATTAGCTTGGGAGGAATGTTTCAGCTGGGACAGAGAAGATGTCTGTGCACTTGCAAAAGAAGCCAAGAAGCCTCTAGACTAGAATGTGTTATCTTATGTCCCTTCCTGTCTCAGTGCCTGTATCATCAACACAGCATTTACTGTTTTCTTCTTCATTCTATCAGACTTATTTCTTCTCCTGGATCAGTGGCAAATGGCTGCAGTAGTGTGTAAGTGGAGAAAGTGGTTAGGAGACCCTTATTTTCTGCCAGCATCGGAATGCAGTGGTAAGAACAGGAGCAGCAATATTACCTCATAAAATACCTCTCTCAAACAGCTTTCTTGTTACTGTCATAGCATTATCGGCTCCAATTTATAAACAGAAAAGCTGAGGCTTATGGTAGATCCACACTAGAAAAGTCTTCAGAGAAATGAAGTCCACGAAGGATGACGTGTTTTAACCACAGCTTTGCATAAGCATAAGCCCCCAAATAGATTCATGAAGCTAGCAACAGCATCTTTTTTGAGTAGCTCATTTTGTAGGGCAAGGACATAATCTGTTCTTGCAAAACACTTTTTTGTAGCAGAAGCAGCATTTCCACTGGAGGATTTCATGGTATAGCTAGTAATTTAATGTAAGGTAGACAAGACCTGGGAGGCATGCAATAGTGTCTAAGCTCAAAGAAGCAGAGACATGGTGGCAAAGCAAGAAATGGAATTCTCTTTCTCCCAGGTTATAAGCAATCCACTCTCCTAGGGTGAATCGCAGTCCTTTGAAGGGAATGCAGAGGCCTATGCTGTAATCAGTGTCTTTGACAGGGCTCAAACCCTGAGCCTCCATCCAGGAAGAGAAGAAGGGCTCACATCAGAGCAATTATAGACCACTAACCATCTTCTAACAATACAAGAAAAACACTTTGCGCCCATCCAGAGCAAACCAGCATATATGTAATTCAAACAATGGGTAAGTAATTGGCTGATATTGCACAATCACCACTTATTTCTCATCTGTCTCTTGGTGTGATTAACTAATCTTCTCCAAACAGAACTGAGGGATATCCTGGAAACAGATCAGTCCCAAAAGGTAACTCTGATAGGGTTTAGTTCCTTACTAATCTTGGTGGGTCTTAAACAGCCCTCCAATGCTGCCCTATTAGATCTTCCTTTGACAAACAACTCCCTTCCTTCTTCAGGAAATACTCCTCTGGTGGGCTGCAACCCAAGTCTCAGTATATTTTCCCATTCTAGAGCCAAAGGGCCCAGAAAAATTTCAGACTCATAGAATCAGAGACTGTTTTAGGTTGGAAAGGACCTTAAAGATCCCAGGAGATTTCATCCAATAGTTTCTCAGACAACTTGAAGCACACTTTCCTGAAGTTCAAGGTCCAGACTCCACTCTTTGCCAGACCTGTGCTCCTCAAGATCACACTCAAACATGGTATGGTTGCTATAGCCCAGGCTGCATCCAATTTTAACCTCTTTAATGATTTCCTCCACACTGGTGAGCACCAGGTTCATCAACACCTCACCTCCGATGGGTCAATCCAACGCCTGAACCAACAATTTATTCTCAACAGACTCCAGGAGTATCCTGGATTGCTTGCAGGTTGCTGTGATGTTTTCCCAGCATATAACTGAGCAGTTGAAATCCCACATCAGGATGAGAGCCTGCAAGCACAACACCTCTTGCAGCTAAAGCAAGAAGGCCTCATCAGCAGAATCCCCTTGATCTTGTGGCCTGAGGTTACCCCAACCACCAGATGCCTTTAATTGGTTCATTCCCTAATTTTAACTCACAGGCTCTCAGTCTATTTATGACTATTACTCAGAGACATCTTTTCACTGTCTGTCCACATCTTAACATAGAGGACAACTCCCCCAACCTTCCTACATTGCCTATCCCTTCTCAAAAGCTTTTAGCCCTCAATCATAGTATTGCAGGTGAGCAATTCATCCCACCTTTTTTTCCGTGGTAGCAAGAATATGGCAGTTTTCCAATTGCTCCATGACTTCCTGTTCCTTCTGGTTATTTTCCATGCTGCGTGCATTGCTGCAGAGGCAATCCAGCTGAGCTATCAGTGGCATTACCTTCTTGGAGAAGCCCCCACACACTCCTCTGGGACAAGTCTGAAGTTTCTCCCCATTGTTTCCTAAAGTGGAAGTGCTTCCTGGCTCTTCCATCACTCAGCCAGAAGAGCCAAGTACATCTCCTTGCCCATCCAAGTCTAGTTAAAAACCCGGTGATGAGTATAGCCAGCTTGCTGCTCAGGATATTCTTGCCTAGACTGATCTGTTGCATCCCATCCAAAGTCAACACATGCCCAATCTATCAAAGGAGCATCCTTGATCATAGAACTCAAAGTCCTGAGCATGACCCCATCCATGCAGCCATTCATTCAACTGCTCCATTCTCCTCCGTCTGCCCAGATCATAGTCTTGCAACTGGGAGGGCTGAGAACAATACCTGTGCCCCAGATTGCTTCAGCAGATTCCCAAGTGACATAATTTTTTTTTCTGATATTTAGGAATTTCCTAGTTGTAGCCTCCTGTGACTCAGCTTGAAAGAGCAGAAGCAGAGAATAATCCTCTGGCTTTGTCATTACAGGTAGTCTCTTCCTGATGTCCCAGATGTAGGCCCTTGGCAGGCAACAAACCTCTCTAGAGAGATTTGGCTCTCTAGAAGAGACCCAAAGGGACAGGTGCTTCATCATGTGAATGTGAAGGAATCAAGCAAGCTGCTATAAAGGAGCAAGCTGCTACTGCAGGCTGCAGCATGTAGCAGACAAATGCAGATTTAAAGGTAGCCTTGGGCAGACAGCATAGACACAGCTTATGAGTTTGGAGTCTGGATCTCTAATCAGGAGAAAAACCTGTTTTCTAAAAGTAACAATGAGCCTCTGTTTCTACAACAGCTTGTACAGCAAATTGACAGCAAAGTACACCTAACAGCTTCTCAACGGTTTTTCTTTCATCCATGATAGCCACTTCTGATCAAGAAAGCAAATATCAGCTAAGTAATGATAGTTAATCATTTGCTTTGGTAGTTTGTCTTGTATTTCTGTTTATACAAGGATTAGCAGAGAAAACAGGGACCTACATTTTCTTCCTAGACAAGGCATAATTACTATGAAATATAAATATCTCATTCAGCTCTGTGTAGCATCCTTCATCTGAAAAATAAGTCTGTCTTTCTGTCTGCATTTTGGAGGAAAGTTTACTTGCAAGTCATAAAGGAAGGTTGTACTTATTTAGGAATTTCCACCTAGAAAAACAGATGTATGTGGGGATTTTCTCTTTGTCAAATTGCACCCACCATTACTTCCTCGTTGTGCAACAGAGCAAATGGTCAATTCGGGGTGAAGTCCCTGGTGCACAAAACTTCTCTCTGACTTCAGAGGAAGATAGATGTTAAAAAAAATAAAATAAAAATATATTTTTTAGTCTCTCATAGGCCTATTCAGCAGAGACCTTCTCAAACCGAGCCTAACTTAGACATTATGTTTATTACAGCAGGGATTACTGGGATTATTATTCAGCAGAGAGAGAGATGATTCGCACCATCTGCTGTCCACAGCTATTGGCTTGATCTGAAGTCACTGCAGTCAAACACTACTTGGCCATGCTTGGTGGTATGAATATAACCCACCTACATATAAAAAAGAAACTACTTGCCACAGGGGCATGATTTGAGATTAGATGCTTTAATAAGAACAAGAGACAGTCAGCTACTACAGGAAGAGGGATCACATTATATACATGGAACGAAAGGCACAAAGATACTCTTTCACTCAGCTTAGCAGGCCGATGACAGGATGAAGAATTGAATGTAGGTTTTGCATCCGGGTTCTATCTCTCAAATAATCATCCCCTAATACATTCATTCAAGCTTACGTGACAATGTCAAATTGTTTCTGAACTGTTCAGGACATGCCCAAGCACAGACTTATGATATACTTCCTTACAAAAGAAATAAAAAACAAAAACAAGAAGTTACAAAACCGGCTGTAGCGTCTAATTCTACTAACCTGATAGAATGGCTCAGAGAGTACTGCACTGCACCTTACACTTTGCAAGTCTAATGTAAAAGCGTTTCCACTCTTTGCC